TATATATATATATATATATATATATATATATATATATGTTATGTCCCATTATTCCCATTGACATGCATTGGGTTGTCCAAAGTCACTATTTTGCTTCTCAAAAACCCCTCACTTTTGATGCTATTGACACTTTGAAGAGCCGGACAGGACAGGACCAGCTGCTGTCAGTCCTTTGATGCCTCTATATCATCAATGCAGGATCATCTCTAAAGTTCTCCGACTCTAGCACAACTTCACGACTTTCACAAAGTCCTGTACTTCTCCATTGGAAGTTCCACAGCAGTACTTTGAGATCAAACAGCAGAATGCTGCTGTCTAGTATTCTGGTTTGTAACATTCTGTTAGAATGATAGAGAAAAGGCAATTTTAGAATAGGACAGAGGAAACTTCTAGATGTGTCTGTTCCATGCTAGATGTGAACATCAATCGAATGACACTAGGTTAGGCATCTCAAAGACAATTCTTAGATAAATTGTCATAAAATAAAATAATGTGCAATTTTTTTTTAACCTTAATTAGTACAACAGCTTGTTACTGGGGTATCTACCATCGTACACATTAAAAATATATTCAATTTCTCAATTTTCAAAAGAAAATATCGTTTTAGTCTTTCTACTTTAAAACTTCACATTTAATTTAATGCTTTACTTGTAGTTTATTCGTAATTATTTGTGAGATTTGCTAATTCTGAGTGAATTGTTTTAAAGTAAATCAAACTCATTTTTTCAGTTTAGAAACTTAATATGGTATCTGTCTACATGGTAAATGAGCAATGTTATGCCAAAAAAAGCTTTCTTCATAAGAAAACTGTCTGCAAGCAACACAACATATAGTCAATTACATAAGCTGAAAAAAGAAACACTTACAATTAAAAACATGCATGCACATAAATTTTGCTTATATAATGTTTATGTATGTTATAAGTTTTTCAGTCAAGATGGGTGAACATTACTCGAGTAATGCTTTTTTGCCCTGTGGGGTTCCCCAGGGTTCTATTTTGGCTCCTTTGCTTTTTTCTCTCTATATGCTCCCTCTTGGCTCGATTTTTAGAAAACATGGTTTGTCATTTCACTGTTTTGCGGATGACACCCAGGTTTATTTGCCTGTCAAACGCAATTCTGTGGGTCTTGAGTCTCTCATGTCATGTTTGGCAGATGTAAAGGCTTGGCTTACCTTAAATTTTTAAATCTTCAATGAAAAGAAAACTGAAATTATAGTTTTTAGTCCGTCTGAATTTTCAAAATCCCCGAAACTGGATTTGGGTGGGATGTCCCTGTGTTTAAAATCATGGGTAAAAAACCTTGGTTTTATTTTTTTTTCAAATTCAGTTGTCAAAGCTTGCTTTTTTCAGCTGCATTTGCTTTCTAAAGCTAAGCTTTTTCTTTCTTTTAAAGATTTTGAAAAAGTAATTCACGTTTTTATTTCATCTAGGCTGGACTACTGTAACTCACTTTATTTTGGGATTAGCCAGACAGCTTTATCCCGTTTGCGGCTTGTTCAAAATGCTGCGGCTCAACTCTCGAGTGGGGTTAAAAAGAGAGAGCATATTACTCCTATTTTACACTCACTACATTGGTTGCCTCTTCGTTTTAGAGTGGATTTTAACATTTTGCTACTAAAGACATTTTTATTTTCTAAAGCGTATGGCTGATGGGATATTTGTTTGATTTTATAACTTTTCTGTTTGTTTGTTGTGTGTTTTTCTGTTTTTAATGACTTACTGGAAAGCACATTGGTCGACGGAAGTTGTAATTAATTGTGCTATATAAATAAATTGTCGTTGTCATGGAGTGTAGATGTGAAAAACTACTTTAAGGCATTTTAGCATATGACTGCTACATAACTGTAACTATAACTAAACTATATATATAGAGAGAGAGAGAGAGAGAGACTGCTGTTCAAAAGTTTCTTAATGTTGTTCAAAGAAGTGGGTTGCATGGTGCCTAAACACGTTACTGTTTACAAGTAATGAAGGGATATTGCATTAGAATAGACTTCACCTATATTTGAAGGTCTTAACACACTTGTCATTGTTTGTTTGGTTGCAGGTCCATCTTTTCTTAATAGAACTGCTGCACTTTTTGAGAGCACATTTAGCACGGGTAAATTACATTTCAATTAGAAAAGGAATCTCTCTTGCTTTGTGTGTGAATACAAATGTATAATCAGTCTTTTGTCTGTGATGCTCTTGTTTTTCTGCCTCATTTCTTTAATTGAATGTCATTGCTCATGCTAATCAGTATGTGAATTAAGTGTGAATGTATCTAGCCTTCCCTGATCTCTCTGATAATGAGTGCTATAGTTCTGCTGATTGTTTTAAAGTTGCTGAAACTCCAGAGTGATTGAACTGAACTGCTCACATCATGTTCATTCTGTGTTTAAGCTGGTGATCTGAGTGCTTTGTCTTCAGCTGTAAGAACGGCCTCCTGAAATCTGTATAAAACTACAGTGATTCACTGCTTTAGTCAGTCTTGATCTCAATCAAGAATCTGCTGAAGATGCACTCAGTCTCCTGATCTTCACGTCTGAGTTTGCTACAGGTGTAACTGGATATTGTAGGTATTTAGTTCTCATAACTTTTAACTTTACTAACATTAAAACCTTCTTTTTTGATGAATGTACTTCTAGAGTCTGTAATATACTGGTTAGTGCATACTGTTTATTAACTGAACTGTTCACTTTAAAAAGGGAGAATGAGGAGTCACAAATAAATCGATTGTCATTTTTATGATTAATATTCAATAATATTACCACATTTATTTATACTGGAAAAACTGTATTTAACACAAAATTGATCTTACTGATTTCAGTGGTGATGTTCTTTCAAATGAGCAAAGATCATTTTATCCTTGTGATCTAATCTTTATAGAAGACAGTTTTGTTCATTTTCAGTCTGTATCTATTATATAGGGCTGTTTTGGGGAGGAAAAACAGCCTGATTTTAGTTAAAAATACTTTTATTTTGGTCTGGTGATGTGACGTCATAAGCGCGCCGCATGTAATAAGGCTGAAGAAAGGTGAGTGTTTTTAGCCATTTAGTATTTAAATCGATACAACTCGTTTAGAGAAATGCATATAAAACTTTTGAAATAAATTATTATCGAATGTAACATTTGAATGCCTTATCTAACGTTAGTGACATGAATAAAGGCTAGTGTGTGTAAGTACAAGCGCTCTCGCACCGTGTGTAAATAACAGAAAAGGTGCGTCTCATTTCGTGAATCACCCTGCGTCCCAATCTGCATACTATCCACCCTATCTGCCCTAAATAGCATTGAAAATTACTGATGTCACATATAATCTAGGATGGATGGGACGCAGGCTCAGTTGATCATAAACACGAATTCAGTCACTGGCGAGTAGTGATGCAGAAACGGATCTTTTAAACTCCGAGTCAACTGAATCACTAGCTTCTCAAAATGATTCAGTGATTCGAAGCTCTGACGACACACTGCTGCTCGAAACAGAACAACAAACACAAACAACTGTAATGACAACTGTTACAAGAAGTGAAAACAAGTTATAATATAACGGGTTTAGAAAGGCTTATTGCATGTCATTACATATGAGTGGGGAGGTGTTTCCTCATCTCGGCACGTGAACTCACGGACGGACACACACACAGAGAAATTCTTTCACATTGAGCACTAAACAATTGTTCGCCTTCTGCTAATTCACGCCTGCAGGCTAGGTGGCGCCAACCAGCAATGCATTTTTCCTCAGATATGTATCTCGTAAATGGATTTAACATTGTCCGCTGCTGAATATACAGCATTAAATTAAGATAAACAAAGTTCGGTTCTACACCAGACACACAAACTATGTATAATGCTTACAAGAATAGGCTACATCCTAAAATATAATTTAGAAGTACAATTATCATCAAGCTACACTTGAAAATGTATTTAATTATTAATGTATTGTCTTACCCACTTTAAACCATCATCAAGTGCTTGTAATAACTTCCGATTGTGATCTATAGTTGATTTTGATTAATAAGCAGACACATGCACTCTCTGTATGTTTAATAACGCTACACTGCTAATATTTGTCAAACAACCTTTATTGCTACAAAAATACCATGAGCTGCATACAAAACACAGAAAATATATCGTCATAATCATACTATTTGCTTTCATATTTCATGTGTAGAAAAAGAGTGAACATGCTCTGACTCATAACACTCACGTTCGTGAACTAGAACAAAAGTTGCTAGGCAACAGAGATGCGCATCTTCAAACGTGAAAAAAAGTAGCAAAAGTAGAAATTATACGCTGTTAGTAATGCGAACGGTCAATTTGACCGCTTTGGCCATTCAAGGTAGATGGACTCAAAACTCTTGTGTTTTGTAATTTTAATAAATTAACATGGTAAGAAAGAAATATACATGCATTTTTAAAAAAGTAAAGGAATTATAGTTATTTGGGGTGTATTTCTACAAAGCTATTACATTGCAAAATTGAAAAAGGTCAAAATGACTGCCTTGGTAGTTCTAGTGTTAACACCGTCAAAGGTACAAGACATTAAGGAAATATGAGAAGTGAACTATAAATGCCATTTGTGCAATAAAATTACATTGCTAAAAATCATCGCAACGTTTATAAATGAGACCCCAGGTGTAAATGGAAATGTGTCTCACGCATCTACTTGTCATTCAATCGATTGAAACGCTTCTTAATTCCAGGTGTAGACGGGGCCTTGGTGTATTTATTCAATAGACCAAACTCATTGACCGCGTAATTCATCGTTTTAATCCATTTACTTTAATGTAGTTCAAACTTTATTTCCTCCTGCTACCCGTCTTCTTTCTCAAACTTTACTTTCTCCATTGCCGCAGCAGCTTATTTCGTCAGAGCCAATGAAGCTCCCCTCTGTCCAGTGCTTACACACTGACGCAGTCAAATCTGTTCACGGCCATTCATCAAGACTGCATGTGAAATTTCACGGGTGAAACTGTGACACTGGGGTTAATTTGTATTTGTCTCTTTTTTTCACCTTAGACTTGATGGCACTGAAAAATAAAAGTCAAGAACTCAATGAAGTTGAAGAGAAAAATCAGTGTGAGATGCGCCATGATTTCATGACGGGTGAAAACCCCAGACAGACTGAAAAGATTTCCTCACGACAAAGAGCTCAGAAGACCAAACCTAACAGTTCTAATCGAACACGAAAACAAAACCTTGAAATCCACAAGCGTGTTCACGCTGGAGAGAAGCTGTTTATATGTGATCAGTGTGGAAAGAGTTTCTCCGGCACAAAATGCCTTAAAATGCATGTAATAGTTCACTCCGCAGAGAAACCTTTCATGTGCCACCAGTGTGGAAAGACTTTCAAATTAAATAAATACCTTACGACTCACATGAAAGTTCACACAAAAGAGAGGCCTTTCACCTGCAAACAGTGTGGAAAGAGCTTCTCACAAGAAGCACATCTGAACGCTCACTTGAAAGTTCACACTGGAGAGAAGCCGTTCACGTGTGAGAAGTGTGGAAAGAGGTTCACACGTAAAAGAGAGCTTAATACCCACATGACTCTTCACACAGGAGTGAGACCTTACAACTGCAAAGTGTGTGGGAAGAGTTTCTCATGCAAAGGAAATCATAACAGTCACATGAGAATTCACACTGGAGAGAAGCCCTTTATATGTGATCAGTGCGGAAAGAGTTTCCGATTTAAAGCAACTCTTAGTTACCACATGAATATTCACTCAAGGGAGAACTGTTTAAATTGTCATCAGTGTGGAAGGAGTTTTACGGACAGAAATGATCTTAAGACTCATGTAACGACTCACTCTGGAGAGGAGCCCAACATGTGCCATCACTGTGGAAAGAGTTTCTCAAAGCAATATCACCTTAAGAATCACATTAGAATTCACACTGGAGAGAAACCTTTCACCTGCAAACAGTGTGGAAAGAGTTTCGCCATTAAAGTAAACCTTCAGTCTCACATGAGAGTTCACTCTGGAGAGAAGCCATTCACCTGCCATCATTGTGGAAAGAGTTTTGGAGTTAAAGGAAACTTTAAGAGTCATTTGAAGCGTCATGTGTAAAATTTATTCTGCCATCACACTTAGAGATGCATCTGCAGAGTCATGTCCTTGTGAGACCCTATTTGTGTGGAAGGAGTTTTAAATGACATATAATTAGTAGTGATTGCAAGACCTGAATTGAGTGTGTCCGATAAGGATAAGGGAGACACACAAAATGTGCAGTGCATGGGGTCCTCCAGGACAGGTTTGGAAAGCCCTCAGAGAAAAAAATGACTATGATGAGTTTTTTGTTTGTTTGTTTGTTTTGTTTCAGTGAAGCTTGGCTTCCATCGAAATTAGCTGAATATACCTGCTTTGCTCCAATTTGATTCACTTCTCCTAGGAGACATTATTAAAAATGTAATTGTGACATTCTGCCTGTGTTTGATTTTGTTTTCATGGACTTTTAGTTTGTATTTCCTTTGTAACCTGTTTTATTGTATTTTTCCTGCCAGACATTAGTCACTATGGCTACTCATTAATTAGTCTCATTAACTAGTCATCTTTGAGTTCAAGACTGTGTATTGTTTCTGTTAAGAGCTAGTGTGGTGTTCTACATGTATTGTTGTTGTTATTTTCTATTGGATTTCCTGAGTTTACTTTTAATAAATTAGTTTACTTTATAATCTTCTTCTGCCTTCATCTTTATTGGACTGAAAACATTCCTGACCATGGAAAGTAAGATGGAGATCACCTCCATTAATGCTGGTATTTTTCAAGATGGCAGGAACCTGGAGGATTATGTGGAAGAGTTTATCACCCTCTGCCACCATGGCACCTGTGACGACCTGATCCTCATGAGCTGCTTTTCCACTGTTGGACGGGCCAATAGCCTTGCACCTCAAGCCGCAAGCCCAAAATCAAGCTGCATTTCCACTGTTTGGACTAGGGCTACAGCAAAACCTGGCCTTAAAGGGTTAGTTCACCCAAAAATGAAAATTAGGCTGTGTTTTACTCACCCCCGAGGCATCCTAGGTGTAT